ACGCAGGGCTTGAACTCACGAACCACAAGATCATGACCTGACCTGAAGTCAGATGTTTAACCAAGTGAGCCACCCACCCAGCCCTCTCCTCCTAAGTATTAATGAGAGAGAATAAATCTGTAATATCAGAACTAAATGCTTACCCCTAAGAGTGGCAATTTGGACAAACATACTCATTAAAAACATAAGATGGGATTCATGTTGACCAATCTGGACATTTTCAAAGCTAATTTTATTTTTGGAGAATCACAATCAGTAAAATCAACAGATCTTCCTTCCTTCCTTCCTATTGAGTCACACATACACTGCCAAACAGTTCAACTGTGAACTCTGCTCACAGATTGCGTCTCTATATTCGAATTACAAGAATTACATAAATTCACTCCTTTTGTCCAACTTTAAAGTCAAAATTAAGCCCTGCGACATACAGCATAATGGGTCCCTGACTGGGAGGGGTTTGCTGAGAGAGGATTAAGGAAGTCAGGGTCCATGCACCTGTAACCCAGCTGACTGGCAAGGAGCTCATCGCTTTACATTGAGCAGAACTAGCGTGATGGGGCAAAATTGTTTTGTGCATGGAGCTTGTGGGTGCTAAACTCTCATTTGAGATCCCTCCTCTCCTTTTTTGGTGTATCCTGCCTCTTCTGTGATGATGGACTCATGCCCTCGCATTTCATAGACCAATCAAGATCCCATAACTACAGGAAGCAAGGAGGATACTTCCTTAGTTACTCCTTTTTGAGAGACAGTCTGAGGGAGAGGGAGTGAGGGAAACTTACATAGGCTCTGAGACCAGCATGGAACCCAGATGGGGCTTGATCTCACGACCATAAGATCATGACCTGAGCCTAAATCAAGAGTCAGACGCTTAACTGACTGAGCCATCCATGTGCCCCATTGGGGGGTGGCAGGCAGATTTTACAGCAGATCTGAGAGGGGAGTGAAATCCATGAAGCATGTGCACCTTGGCCAAATTTGGAGGTAAGCAAGAAGTTAGCGGATTAGGAACAGCTAGAGGGGGATGTGGGTGAACATCCCTGTGCCTCAAAACAAGATGCTGAAGATGAAACCACAAAGGGAAGAGGCTGGTGAATGTTCTTTTGTGTTCTCAGGGGTTTGCACTTCTGCTTGTGAACAGTCTAAGGTTTTAATATTTTGCCCGCTATTGAGCCTCACGATCAGACTCTATTCTTTTAAAGGAAATTACTAGATAATCAAATAATCATACGCGTTTTAACAGGGGCGCTGTCTCCAGAGAAGTAGCTCCCAGGGTGAGCATCCCAAGCACCATGGACAATCTCTGTTCTTTCACCTTCCTCTGCTCTAGGACCCTCCAGCAATCCCCCTTCACCTGTGATGGGACTTCTGTGATTCCTGTTACTCTCCCTTTCTTAATCCTTCTCTTTATTCACACCTGTTGTGATAATTCACCAGTGACCAGTCACTCCCCCACACTCAGTGGGGTTGGCACCTGTCTAACAAATATAATCTCCTCACAGCCCTGTGATCAACTACCGTGATTTCACCTCCTGGTCACAGAGGGATAGCAGGTAGATTCTCCTATTGGCTCCAGAACCAGCAGTCACCTTCCAGCTTCTCTGCATCCTGTGTCTATGACTCTCCTCCAGGCTCCTCCAGCCCTTCTGCACACAGACCAATCCCTATGAGATTTGGGGCTTTTCCTTTCTGTCCTCGCTGCCAGATATTAGATTACCACCCCATCACCACACACCTGGATTCCTGCAGAAGTCTCCTGATGTCTGTGTCCGTCTCAAATCTCTCCCCTCTTCAGTTCACACCTGACCTTGCAGCAGGTCCAGGATTCTGGGACACGGGTGTGATCCCCTCCATCTAACACCCCTCAGAGACCTCTCCCTGCCCGAAGACAACACTTACATGTCCTGTGTTGCCTTTGAAAGCCCTCTTTTGCAGATGGACTCACCTTTGCCATCTTATCACCCCTCAGCCGCCCCCACACTTTGCAAAGAAAACACCAAGCACCGCTGCATATCTGGGTCTTTCCTCTCACATCGTTCCTGCAGACTGGGGTGGCCTACAGACCACTCTTTGTCCACGAAAACGCTCCTCTTCCCCTAAGAGCCATTTCACACGCTGCCCCTGCCGTGAAGCCTTCTCAGAGCCTTGCTGCTTCGCCTTCTCCTCTACACTCCCAGCACACTTGATGTGAGTGCTCATCTCCTCTGTCAAATGCCATCTGTGTTGACATCTGGGCTCCCCCTTGAAATGAGCCCCTTAGTGCACTCTGGTGCTCTAGCTACTCTTGTTTGTCCCCGTGTTCCCCACATGGCCTAGTGCCTGACAGGGAGGGCTCCATAATCCTCAGACGGAATGTGCACTGCCTGGGGGGAGGAGGCCCGGGGTCATTCAGGGTCCCTCACACCTCAGCACTCAGACCATCATACTCTTCAACCAGGCTCAGGCCGGCCCCGTGACCAGACCATCAACCCTGTTTCTAAGGAAGTTCAACACTTTTTCCCTTTAGTACTGGCCTGTAGGAAAAAATTAAAAAACATATTACCTTCCATAGGAAGTATGAAACGTCTCTGCTTTCCATCCATGAATGTACTATTTGTTGAAGGTAGAAGATATTCAGAGAAAAGTAAATGAAATGAACTTCAGGGACTGAAATTGAGTGTCAGCCACTGTTTTTTCATACATCTTACATACAACATGATAGAAAATCAGTTGCCACTAAATTCCACAAAAAGCTTTACAAAACAGAAATTAGAAGTTATTTCATCATTATGTGGAAAAAACAAGTTAACATTTAAAATTACATTGTAGGCTTTTAATCAATAATTTCCCATTTTTGAGACACCTTGTTCTGTACTTGACAATAATTTTCTCCAGGGCAACCCTGCCTCCACTCCTCTCCTAGCCACAGTGGATTGTTCCATCATGGGTACCTCACATGATGGGGACTGAGTATAGTGTTTTCTCCAGATCCACCTCCTGATTAAAGTTGTTTGATCCACTGGTGGGCACCTCACCCAGCTGCGCAAATGAGAGTACTTTCACGAGAATTTTGGAACCAGATTGAGAATAGTCCATTCTTCTTTTCCTCCCCTTTTCTTACAGTGATCGCTAAATTTATATGTCCATTTTATGTGTTCTCGATGTTTCTGTGAAAGTATTTTTAAAATTTTTTTAATGTTTATTTATATTTGAGAGAGGGAGAGAGACAGAATGTGAGTGGGGGAGGGGCAGAGAGTGAGGGAGACACAGAATCTGAATCAGGTTCCAGGCTCTGAGCTGTCAGCACAGAGACCAATGTGGGGCTGGAATTCACAAAGCCGTGAGATGGTAACCTTAGCCGAAGTCAGACACTTAACTGACTGAGCCACCTAGGTGCCCCAAAAGTATTTTTTTATAGATAAGATTAACATTAATATGAGTAGACTTTCAGTAAAGCAAATTACCTTCCATAATGTCAGGAGGCCATGTTCAAACAGTTGAAGGCCTTATTTTAATAAAAGACTGACCTCTGGGAAAGGGACGTTCTATAGCAGACTGCCTTCAGACTCACTACTCCTCTTCCCTGGGTCTCCAGCTGCTGGCCCAGCCTGCTGATTCTGGACTTGCCAAGCCTCTACACTCTTGTGAGCCAATTCTTTAAAATAAATCTCTCTCTTTTCCCTCCCTCTCTCCCTCCTTCCTTCTGTCTCTCCCTTCACTCTCTGTTATTCTGTTTCCCTGAGGATTGATGACTATCCTGGAAAGAATGAAGCAGAAGCAGAGAGAGAGAGAGAGAGAGAGACTCCTCACCTAGCTAAAGTTTCTAATTCCATCCTTCCTGAGACCCACGTGCATTCCTTCCCTTGGAATTCCTGACAATCAAAGACTTTTCTGATAACCAAAGTAGTCCTAATCTACTTCAAATCTGGGTTCTTAAAAGATCTGTATTGAAGTAAAACACAATTTTTTTCTAAATTATGATTTATCCTGGGAATATTCTGTGTGTGCTTGAGAAGACTGTATTCTGCTATTGTTGGAAACAATGTTCTGTACATATCTGTTGGGCCATTTGACCTACTGTGTTGTTCAAGTCCACTGTTTCCTTATTGGTCTTATGTTGGAATGATCTTTTCATTTTCCAATGAAACGGTACAGTTACAGTTCCCTGAAAATGCTGTATTGTTTTCTATTTCTTCTTCAGGTCTATTAATATCTGCTCTATATATTTAGATGCTCTGATGTTGGATGAATAAATATTTACATGTGTTTGGCGCCTGGGTTGCTCAATTGGTTAAGCATCCACTTCAGCTCAGGTCACTCTCTCACGGCTAATGAGTTCCGTCCCCGAGTCAGACTCTGTGCTAACAGCTCAGAGCCTGGAGTCTACTTTGGATTCTGTGTGTCTCTCTCTCTCTACCCCTCTCCTGCTAATGCTGTCTCTCAAAAATAAACATTAAAAAAAATTTTTTTTAATATTTACAAATGTTAAATCCTCTTGATGAATTGGCTTTTTACCATTAGAGACTGAAATGCTCTGTCTTTAGTTACATTTTTTAACTTAAAGTCTATTTTCTCTAATATTAAATATAGCTATCCTTACTTTCTTTTGGTTTTTATTCCCTGGAACAGCTTTTTCCATCCATTCACTTTCAGCCTACATGTATCCTTCACTAAAGTCAGTCTCTTGTAGTAGCATATTGTTGAATCTTGTTTTTTTTATCTATTTGCCCACTATATACCATGTGATTGGAGAATTCAGTCCATTTAATTTTTTTTAAATGTTCATTTATTTTTGAAAGAGAGAGACAGAGTACAAGCAGGGGAGGGGCAGAGAGAGGGGGACAGAGGACCCAAACAAGCCCCCAGTATGGGTTTTGAACTCCCAAACCACGAGATCATGACATAAGCTGAAGTCAGATGCTCAACCAACTAAGCCACCCAGGTGCCCCTAGTCCATTTACATTAAGACAACTGATAAGAAAGTAGGTACTTTACTATTGCTATTGTGTTCATTGTTTTCTGTTTTGAAGTTCCTTTATTCCTTTCTTCCTGTCTTACTGACTTCCTTTGTGGTTTGATAATTTTTTGTAGCAGTAGGATTTGATTTCTTATTCTATGTCTTCTGTGTATCTACTAAATGGTTTTCTTTGTGGTAACTATGAGTCATACGCCCAACACCTTATAGTTATTTCAAGCTGATTACAATATAAGTTCATTGCATACAATACTCAATATTTTTACATCTCCTCCCTCATTTTATGTTACTGATGTCACAATTTACATATTTAACTTGTGTACTGACAGATTTTTATAGCTGTAATTATTTTTAATATTTTTTTGGCATTGGTACTAGCGTTAAAAGTAATTCACACACCATCATTACGGTATTACACTATTCTGAATTTAATTATATATTGGCCTTTACAGTATGTTTAATGTCCATATGTCACCATGTTGCTAGTTAGCACACTCTCTTTTCCATTTATTTATTTATTTATTTATTTATTTATCTTACATGTATTGATTTTGAGAGAGAGCATGAGCACGTGTGGGGCAGAGTTAGAGGGAGAGAGAGAATCCCAACCTGGCTCCTCACTGTCAGCACAGAGTCCAGTCTGGGCTCGATCCCACGACCAAGAGATCATGACCTGAGACAAACGCAAGGGTCATACACCTAACTGACTGAGCCACCCAAGTGCCCCAACGTCCTCTTGTTTCAATTTGGACAGCCCCCTTTAGAATGTCTTGTAAGCAGGTTTAGTACTGATGAAGTTTGTCAGTTTCTGGTTTTTTCTAGGAAAGTCTTTACCTCACCTTTATTTCTGGTTTTCCAAGTGAAGGATTTCAATGGCTGGATTTTTCTTTCAGCACTTTGAAGGTATCATCCCACTCTCTGGGTCTGCAAGGTCTGTGCTGAGAAATCTGGGCATCCTTTATATACGACCACTCACTTTTCCTCTGCTGCTTTCAAAAGTTTCTCTTTTTTATTTGATTGTAATGTGTCTTAGTGTAGATTTCTTTAGTCAGTCAAGTTCTGTGGCCTTCATGGATCTGGATGTTCATTCCCCACAGATTTAGGAGATTGCCTCTCATTATTACTTTGCATAAGCTTTCTGCTCCTTTCTTTTATGCTTATCTGGGGCCAGTAATGCCTATATTACTTGGTTTGTTGGTGTTTCATAACATCCCGAGACTTTCTTCCCTCACTTCCATTCTTTCTGTTGGTTTGCTTTTTACCTCTGACTGGATGATTTCAAATTATGTCTTTGTGTTCACTAATCATTTCTTCTGCTTGATGACTCTGTTGTTGGAACTCTTGATTGAATTTTTCAGTGTAGTCTTTGCATAAAATTTGCCATTGTGTCCTTTACATGATTTCTACCTCTTTTTTTGAACACTCTTTTTTTGAACACTCCCTTTGCTCATAGATTGTTTTCTAGATTTTATTTAGGGGTCAAACTGTGTTCTCCTGTAGCTCACTGAGCTTCCTTAAGTAGACTATTTTTGAATTCTTTGTCAGGCATGCAGAGCTCCATTGCTTTGAGATCAGCCACTGGGGCTTGATGTTCTTTTAGTGATGTCATGTTTCCTTGAATGTTTTGGAAGCGTTGCATCGCTCATGTCTTCACACTTGAAGGAGCTGTCACCACCACCCACCCCTCCCACCCACCCCCCACCAGTCTTTACTGCCTGGCTTCTTCAGAAAAAGATATTCACCTGTCAGCCCAGCTGGAGATTCTGGGAGGTCTCTCAGACCTTACCTAAGGAGGTACCTTCTTCATTCCCGAGGTTCCTTTTGAGGTGGAAGTCTTAGGATTCTGTGTCTTCTCTCCATCCCACAAAAGCAGACAGAATTCTGAAACCCTCCTTTTTATTTACACGAGGGAAATTCCCTGAAGTGCTCAGGGTTGTGGGCCTTCTCCCAAATCACCAGACTGCTGATATCCATGCACACTATCTAGGGAGGTTCCCATCATCTGTGGGAAAGTGTGGGGCTGGCCACAGAGAGGGTGATAGGATTCTGCAATATCAAGACAAGGTGACAGCACTTAATAGGCAGGGGCAAAGTACATAATCATAAACAGTAGCGAGGCCACAATGACAACCAAGAGGCTCTGACCTGAAAGATCTGGGGCAAAAGCCAGATAAATCTTAGTGTTCTTAAGGGTAAGAGAGAAGGGCAGCCAAAGACGGTATGGTTTGCCTTATATGGCCAGATC